TCTTCTTCTTCTTCTTCTTCTTCTTCTTCTTCTTCTTCTTCTTCTTCTTCTTCTTCTTCTTCTTCTTCTTCTTCTTCTTCAATGCACACAACTGTGGTGTAGCGGCTACGCACTACGCTGTCGCACGCAGGAGACCTGAGTTCGTTTCCTGCGTAGGGAGAACATTTCTATCGGTATCTCGGTCTTTCTACTGGAATGCTGCATCCCTCTCAACCCGCACCCGGCCTGACATGCAGGACCAGAAGCCCTCCCGCCTCCTAAATCATCTAAATGCGTTCGATGGGGGCGTTAAGACACCTACATTATTTTTCATTCAATGTACCTTCACAATAAGGCTTTTTTCCGTTCCCCAGTCGTCAACACAGTTCTGCCAACCACAATGACATCAACGACCACAACGGTACGCACTTTTCCAACCACGATAAGAAGAATTATCACAACGCCAACAACCACAAGACCAACAACGACAACAACGACACCAACAACGACAACAAGACCAACAACGACCACAACCATGCCAACGACTCCTGAAGATCTTTCTAATCTGGGTATGAGTGCAAAATAGATCAGTATGTTTCTTTTTTTAAACTGATAGTGATGCTGGTTATGAAAAGAAAGAAATGGGAAAGGTAGAAGGAAGTGAAACTAGTTATTTTGGGACAACTGAAAGATATTGGTTACCAGCTTTTCCCCTTGAAATTTGGTTATCTATAGAGTTATATGCTCTAGACTCGTTTGAATATTTGTGTGCTTGTTTGAGTAAAGAGAAGCACATCGACACAAAAATAGTCATACAGTGCTGAAAAAAGTGAGACAGACAGAAGTAACAGAGGGAAAGTAAAGAAGAAGATCCTACCAGTGACACCCTTCAACCACCCGCCCCTAGACTCAGATAAGATCAGACCCTAACAAATAAGCAAGAAGACAAACAAAGAAACGAACAAACGAACAAACAAATCAACGTAGTTGAGTATAGATGCTCCAATCTAGTTTTGTCATTGGCATCTTTTTAAAAAGATCAAAACAGTTTCTTGTCATACTGGCTGAATGGTCATGACGTCAATTTAGCGTGAACGTACATAGAAATTTAATGGAAAACTATAATGAAGAATATACACTCTCTATTTCTCTCTTTATCTCTCTCTCTCTCTCTCTCTCTCTCTCTCTCTCTCTCTCTCTCTCTCTCTCTCTCTCTCTCTCTCTCGCGCGCGTTAAGTGTTCACTAACGAGAATTAGCTCACGCACTCTCTCACTCACTCATTCACTCACTCACTCTCTCGCTCACTCACTCACCCACCCTCTCACCTACCCACTCTCTCAATCACTCACTCACTCACTCACTCACTCACTCACTCTTTCGCTCACTCACCCATCCACCCTCTCACCTACCCACTCTCTCAATCACTCACTCACTCACTCATTGACTCACTCACTCACTCACTCACTCACTCACTCACTCACTCACTCGATCACTCACCCACCCACCCTCTCACCTACCCACTCTCTCACTCACTCACTCACTCACTCACTCACTCACTCACTCACTCACTCACTCACTCACTCACTCACTCACTCACTCACTCACTCACTCGCACACTAAGTCACCCGCCCCCTCAACCACACACTCTCTCAATCACTCCCTATCTTTCCCCCTTTCTCCCAGAGTGTGGAATCAGGCCAAGTTTCAGCAGATACAAGATTGTGGGCGGCACCCAGGCTGAGGAGTGCGAGTACCCGTGGGTGGTGGGTGTGTCCGTGGGGGCCCGCTTCTGTGGGGGGTCCATCGTGGGCAGACGCTATGTGATCACGGCAGCACACTGCGTCAGATACAAGTGAGTTATATATTGATATGTGTTGTTACTGGGTTTTATTGTTCTGATACTGTCTTTTTGTAACTCATGTTTTGTTTAACTAAGCGTTTTACCGCACAGTGCGTCAGATGTAAGTGATTTATTGCATGCTGTGCGTTGTTACTGGGTTTTATTGTTCTTATACTACCTTTTTCCTTTTTGTAACAAATGTTTTGTTTGTTTAAGCAAGCGTTTTACCGCACGTCCATAACACACTGTGTCGGATGTACGTGAGTTTTTGCTGTGTGTTGCCACTGGGAGCACTTCTTTCCTGTGTCTTTTTTTTTTTTTTGTAACCCTTGTTTTGTTTAAGTAATTGTTTTACCGCATTTCCAGCACACTGTGTCAGATACAAGTGAGTTATTGCTGTGTGTTGTTATTGGATGAGCTTATTTTCTATGTCTTTTCAAAAATGTTCGGGGGCTCTTGTGGCCTAAAGGTCAAGGTCTTCGCCTCTCATTCAACGGTCCCGGGTTCGAATCCGGGTAGCGACGAAAAATATTTCTTCTATAAAATTGCCTCCTTTCACTCGTTTCCTGCTCTCTAGCAATAATCTGAAGTCTGCTTTCGTCTCCACTTTCTGCCCCCCACCCCATCACCCCCTTTGCCCCCTCTTTTGGGCTCCTGACTCATTCTGCATCCTTTCTACTGTTACTCCTTGGCTCCTGCTCGCTGCTGTCTTTCAGCCACACCCCTGATCTTCTGATAGGAAAAATCTACACCGAGCCTTCTCGAACAAGGGCGAAAATCTCGGAGGTCCGTGTGCAAGTTGGGCACGTTAAAAAACACTTACACAAAAAATAAAGTTTTGTAACTCATGTTTTGTTTAAGTAACTGTTTCACCGAACTAGCAGCACACTTCGTCAGATAAAAATGAGTTGTCCGTGTGTGTTATTGTTAAAAGAGTCCGCTTTTTTCCTAAGTACATGTATATTTGTAACCCTTGTTTTATTTTAGTGAATGTTTTACGGCACTTGCAACACAGTTAGTTCATAAAAGTGCCGACTGATAGAGGTGTTGCTTGAGGGTAACAAACACAAAAAAGGAGGAGAGATAAAGACGACAGATGTTGGATAGGAAAGAAAGAGCAAACCAAACCAGAGCACCCATCAACCACGCATTTTTGTAACCCTTTCAGTACTGACGCCTTTCTATTGATGTTTATGCAGACACGACAAAATATCCGTTCCTGGGAGATTTAAACAAAACCATAATATATTTCCCGTTATTTAGGTATACTATGCACGTCTACACAGCCAGCACTGATGACGTCAAATGAGGGCCCAACGGAAGGAGGGGGGGGGGCTGCCACAGTCATTGTTGAATGTAAAGATGTCGTGTATCTTGCGATTGTGACAAGGATACGGCTGTCTCCTTTTGAGAAATCAGAGTTTTTGCAATACGCGGAAATGAAAATATACACTGAGAGGTCAGATAGTTTCTTCAGAGTGAACTAACTACCTATATTGATAGGCCAGGGTTGTTTGTCATAATAGCAAATACAGTGTACACGTTGACAGTTTAGAGGATTATGTTTCGTATGGGCGATTTAACTGTTCACATTGATAGTTTAGTGACAATTTGAATTGTCCAAACTAATAGTACACATGCGGTTGTTTTGGGGGCTTTTTGTCCGTAATTTCAAATAGATAGTAACACAGATAGTTTAGAGCTAGTATTATTTTGATTTGTGCGAATTAATTATTGTCCTTGCTGAAAGTTCACAGATAGTTGCTTCATTTCGTGAGAGCGAATAAATACTTGCCCACGCTGCTAGGGCAGAGCTTTTTTACCCCTTATGAAGACATTAAACTGTCTGCATTAGTTGGGCAAG